AATTTGGATCTACAAAAAATTTGTAAATACAAAATAAAATTATACAAATATTTATAATTATATTTAACTCTATCAACCATAAATTCAGTCTTTAATCTAGGAAATTTCAACCTAAAAAATATAACCTGAAATATTAAACAAAATAAAAACATAAAAATAAATAATAATTAAAAGGGTGGAGTAGTACAGATTCTATGATTGTAATAAGAGATTTGTCATATACAAATTAAGCAAGTCAGAATGAGGAATTAATTTTATAATCATCACTAACTCTATATCTCCCTTCTTCATTATTTTAAAAGAAAAAACTAAATCAATCTATTTTACTAATTTGAGTTTAGCTTAAGTTAAAGACTAAGTCAAATAAATTTTAAAATTTTGTACTATTATAAATAAAAAAAGAAGTTTATTTAGTTTTTATATTATTTTATTCTAACAAAATACAAATTATTCATCTAAATTTCACTTTAGGTATAAACTTTTTTTTTTGAAATTTTTTTATAAAAGGGGAATCAAACTTAATTTTTACAAAAAAGATAAATTAGTGTACATATTCTAGAATTAAATAATCAAGTAAGAAAATATTTATATATAGTTTTTAACACCATAAATCTTTTACACTTAAATATTTGGCTTATTAATAAATATATCTATCATCTACTTAAAGATTTATATTTTTTAAATATTTTTTTCAATGTAGTCATCAATCTCTCAATTTTGTTCAATTTAGTCCCTGTATTATATATTTTTGTTCAATTTAATCCATATGATGTCTCACGAAAAATTTAAAAAATTTTTGATTTGCCATGTGGCGCTGATATGTCAACATTGTCACGTCATTATATTAGTGCCACATGGCACTACTACATCATCATGTCGGTGTCACGTGACATGTCATGTCATCATGTGGGTCTCATGTCATTCAAATGTGCCACATCAACATTGATGCCAGAGCTGACATCATCTTTTTAATAGTAAAATTGGATGTTGTTAAAAGGACGAACTAAATTAATGCAGTTCTCAAAATCAAGGGATTAAATTGCTTTGATTTTTGAGTACAGGGACTAAATTGAACAAAATACATGGGTACAAGGACTTGATGGGTATTTTAACCAATCTTTATTCTTATAAGCTAACTGCTTAGCATCTATGGCACTATGTATTATTCTAAACATTATATCACCAACAAACAAAAACAAATATGGAGATAAGGGATCCCCCTGTCTAAGCTCCTAGATGGTAGAACTTTACCATTTGCCTTACCATTAATCATTAATGTATAGGAAACTGAAGATATACACCCCATTGTCCAATTAATCCACTTGCTATCAAACCCTAACTTATTTAGAACAGCCTCTAGAAAGTCTCACTCCACTGTATCGTAAGCCTTATTCATATAAGTTTTCAACCCCATCTCATACCTTATTTATTTATTTATTTAGTTTTTAAGTTTCAAAATATAGAAAGCTTCATTAGCAATCAAAATATTATCCTAAATATACCTCCCTTCAATAAAACTACACTGATTTTCAGTTTTGAGGTCTTTCATCGATGGCTTCAACCTATTAACCATCACCTATTGGATAATTTAATAAGCAAAATTACAAAGGTTGAAACTCCTTTTATGGAGGAAGAGATATGGGTTACTGTCCAACAATGTGATGGTAATACTCAACCTTGATGGATTTAATCTTGATATCTACAAAAAATAATGGTTTGCCTTTAAAAGTGAGATCATTGCTTTCTTGGGGGAATTCTTTTCTACCAAAAGGTTTAATAGTCTTTTTAATGCATCCATTATCAACCCATTAGTCTAGTTGGTAGTATCTACAAAATCCTAGTGAAGGTTCTAGACAATTGACTCAAAACGGTGATTAGCTCAATGGTGGGGGAAAACCAATTTGCTTTTGTTAAAAAGTAGGCAAATCCTTAACTGCTCTTTGATAGCTAAAGAGCTCATTGACTACCTTAACAAGCACAAAAAGAGTGGCTTTCTTTTCAAAGTTGATTTTCAAAAGACCTTTGATAGTGTCGACTGGGGTTTCCTGGACTTCATTATGAAGAAAAGAGGATTTAGGACTAAATGGAGAAGGTGGATAACACAATGTATCTCTATAGCCTCTATTTCAGTGTTACTCAATGGCACTCCAACAACTTAGTTCTTGACTCAAAGAGGCTTGTGGTAGAGATGCCCTCTCTTGCCTTTTCTTTTCAATATTATTGCAAACTATCTTAGTTCCATGCTTCACAAAGCCACCTCGATGGAACTTTTTCGAGCCACCTAAGTTGAAAACTCCTAGATTATCATCTCTCACCTTTAGTTTGCTGACGACACCTTCCTTTTCTGTGAGCCTCACTTTTTCTAGTTTCTTAACATTGCAAAAATTCTTAAAATTTTTTAAGCTATTTTCTGGACTTAAAATTAATTTTTCCAAAAGCAATATTCTAGGCTTAGGCACTAACACTAGTCTTATTCAGTTTTGGGCAAGCATGATTAGTTGCAAAATGGAAACCTTCCCCACTAGCTATCTTGGCTTGCCATTGAGAGCTAACCCTCAATCCTCATTCACTTGGCAACTAATTGTTGAAAAACTTCAATCTAAGCTTGCAAGGTGGAAAGGCCAATTTCTCTCAATGGGGGGATGGCTAACATTTATCAATTTAGTTCTTTCCAGTCTTCTTTTATATTTCCTCTTTATTTTCCAGATGCCTACTTCGACTATGCAAAAACTTGATGCCATCTAGAGGAATTTTTTATGATTAGGAAATTCTATTAAAAGAAGGTTGCACTACATTAATTGGCCATTTATTTTCAAGTTCAAAAGCCAAGGGGGTTTAGGGATTATGGACCTAGAGCTTAAAAATCAAGCTCTCCTAAACAAGTGGCTATAGAGGCATGCCAATGAACCGATATTCTATGGCACAAGGTCATCTCGGCTTAGAACAAACTACTAGATCCAAGTTGTATGCTACCCTCCAACAAAACCCACAAACCTTTTCTTCTTTGGAAACACATTTCTAAACCCCTTCAGTCCTCCAATAGATACCATGAATTGGTTACTTCCAATTTTGGTATCTTCTCGGAAAAGGGAACACTATCTTCTTTTAGAATGATCTTTGGCTCGGTAATGCCCCTCTGTCATTGACTTTTCCTCGCATCTATACTTTGGCAACCGATGAAAAGGCCACCATTGTAGAGTTAGGGAAATGGGTCAATCACAATTGGACTTGGGATATTAACATGAGAAGACAATCATTTAATTAGGAGATAGAGCATCAGGAAGAATTTAGAGCTCTTATAAGCAACATGCAACCTTATCCAACTGATAATGATAGAGTAATTTGGAAAAAGACCACAAATGGTTCTTACCCCTAATCCTCCTTCTGCAAGGTGTTTCACAACATTCCTCAATCTTCTGATAGTTTCTAGAGCAATGTTTGGATTGGAAAATGCACCACCAAAAGTGAAAACTTTCTATTAGCAAGTCTAGAAAGGTAAGATGGGCGCCAAATCCATCTTAATGGAGAAAGGGCATATGACTGTTGATGAATCAATGTGTACCCTATGCAACTCTCATCTTGAGATCCCATTTCATCTCTTTTTTGGATTTATGATTGTATGGAAAACGTGCACAACTTGCCATCTCAAATGGGGCATCATTTAGGTTTCTCTTGCTGATACTATCTCCTTCTTTAATGCATGGGTTCATCATCCCATCTCTCCCAACGTGAAGCATGTTTGGAAAATGTTGTTTTTGGCCAACTTTTGGGTATTATGGTTATGCAGAAATGAGACTATATTTAGAGGCAAGAAGTTTAAAGTCTAACAGATTGTTCACATTACCCTCCTTTGATTCTCATTGTGGTGTAAAAGGAAGTGGCAAATAGGATATATTCCTACTAACCTATGTAGACTTAAACCCACAATTTTTTCTAACAGTGCCAATAAGCCAAAGCACAAGTCAAGCACAAGCTGGTCACCTCCATTACTAGAGTCTCTGAAATTGAATATTGATGGAGTAGCAAAAGGCAAACCTGGCCCTACAGGTATAGAAAGAGTTCAAAGGACCATCTAGGATATAAAAAAGTGACCTTTTCTATGCACATTGGAACGGAGGAATCTAATTATATTGAATTTAAAGCCATTCGGATGGGCATCAAATTCTTTCTCTCCTCCTCCCCATGGGCTACAACACACCGTCTTCAAGTTGAATGCAATTCTTCTAATACCATCAATTGGACTAGAGACCACAACAAGGTACCAGGGCGTATGAAATTTATCTCTAATGTTTTTGAGTCTTATTTGCACAGCAATATGGGGATTACCCTTACTCATATTTTGAAGGAACCTAATTCAATGGCTGATGGTTTTGCAAAAGTTGGAGTTCTACGAGCCTCTAACTTCGAAGCCTATTTCGACTTCTACCAAGGGGGACCACTCCAAGACTCAACTACTACAGGCTAGTCTCTACGATCTTGGATTTAGTTTGTGTTTTTTATGTAATGCATTAGAGACAAATATAGCTTTTAGCTGTAGGATTGAATCGAAATGTGTCTTTTTCTCCTTTGCCTATGACATATTAAGTTCTTTTTTTCATTTTTATGTTTGCTTGTCCACCTTAAGGGGGCACTTTTGATCGGCTCTGTTTATTTAAGTCTCTTTTTGGGACAAAATGCGCCAATAAAGCTTTGCTTTTCAAAAAAAGAAAAAAATTTACAAAGGCTCATTGGCCTAAAGTGAGACATCTCTTCAGGACTTTTAGTCTCAAGAATTAATATAAAATTAGTCCTGTTAATCTCCCTAAGCTTATGACCATGACAAAAAAAACCCATGTATTGGTTGAATTTCCTTTATTATTTCCCATTACTTTTGAAAAACCTACACCATTATTGGAAAACAGCACGCTTAATTTCTTCTTCTTCAACCGCCTTTGTCACCCAAGTAAGGTGGCTTAAAGAAGGTTCATGGCTTCTGGGGTCAACTAAGAGTGAATACAATTATGTAAACTCCATGTGAAATTGGCAAGTTAAATTCATCATCAACCATGTTCAAGCAGTGGACAACAATTTCCGATGTATGTGTAGCAAAATTCTAAAAATTTGGCTTGGCTGGCAGCACAGCAGGATCTAAAAGAATAGTCATATATATGTGCTAATTTGACCCTGGAAACAGCATGTTAACAACCAGCCAAGCCATGGCAGATTAAAATTCATGTAAAACAAAATGATGACTTATAAATCAATGCTGAACTGGAAACTTAACTAGTCATTGATAACAACATAGTTGTGAAGATCTGACAACCATCACTATCTCACACAACAAAAAGATCCAGATATATATTTGCAACCTACTTCAATTCATGAGAAAGTTTGAAAAAACTTAGACAACCGAGACCTTACATTTCTTGGAGACTTTTGGTAATTTGGACAATCTTTTAGTGATCTTTGACCTCCATTTTGCTGCATTCTGTTTTCTTTCTCTAGCCTGTACCGTGAAATTCTCCAGAACTTGGGCATGCTTGAGAAAATACTCAACCATTTGGAACTCATTTTTCTGACCTTTGAATGACAAAATTTTAAATGTCTTGAGTTGAGACCACAGAAAGGAAGGAAATGCCTTGGATGGAAACTTGACTCTGCTGATGTCGCATGAATAACGCTGGTTCACCTGAACATGAGACAAATAGGAAGGATTCACAATTGCCACACTACATTGAGTGCATGAAATTACTACAAAAACAGTATTATATAATACTCCATTTTCATACCTTAAAAACAAGTGCTTCTAGACTAGGAAAGCATGCCAGTAAATCTGGAAGCACTCTTTCCCACCCAACAAAGAAGTAGCCATCAAGATTCAAATAAGTCAGCTTAGGCAACTTGGGAATTATGCTACTAACTTGTAGGAAAACCTTCAGGAGAAGACAATTGTTGTTACTTGTTAAAGCATTTTTGTACTAAGAAAATCTTGTGAAAGAATTGTGGGTTGAAGAAAACTAACCTCTGCAAATATACCAGATAAATGAAGTGATTGAACATTACTGATGCCTTTGAATAGATCAGCTGCAGCTTTATTATAATAGACAAAAGAGTCATAACAATCAAAAACTGTCCCGAAATCAAAACATGCTTCGACAAGGGAGTTCAGATTTTTCAGCAAGAAGCTTTTTGGCAGGTGACAGCATTTGAAGTAGACAAGGCTAGGGGCATCAATCACAATCTCATAATCTTGGTAATAGCCCTTAGTATAGGCTACGGTCAATCTCTGCAGTGTAGGGCTAGAAACATTGAATTTGCATCTGTGTTTCAAGTTGCATCTATCTACAACCAATTCCTCAAGCACGGAGCAGCAAGAAAGGAGTCTTTGAATTGAATCATCATCTGAAAATTCAATACCGGATAGGTGGAGAATCTTGAGACTAGGAGAACAAATCTCAACAGGCAGTTTCAGGACAATCTTGCACTTGCTGTAGATGTCCAATCTCAATACCTCCAATGTCTTGCAAGTAAATACCCCAAGAGGCACCATATTTAGCTCCTTAACCTTAAGGCATAAGTCAAGCTCTCTAACCCTGTTCAATAACGCGTATCGTATCCATCCATCAATCCGGTAAGAATCAATAGAGTCTCCACACTTGAGATGAAATTTATCCACAACCCCAGTGCGGTAAAACAGAACTCGATCCACAAAATTCATGAAACTATAACTATCATACTTCCTCCTTTTACAATGATCATCCAAGTTAAGATTAGATATTAGAGAAACAATCTTACTCCACCGGGTAGATAAAATGGAGGTTGCTACTGCTTCTTTTGTCGGAAGGAACGATAGGATGTGACTTAAAATTGGGTCTGGTAAATTGCTTATCCTGTCTACACCTTCCATTCTCGCTTGTTTAGCCATGAACGCTACAGGAAGTTAAAGCGAGCTGTGCAGAGAAGGATCTGAGATTCTTGCAAAGTTGGCAACGCTGCAAGGTTTTTTCACTGGTTTTGCTTTCCAAATGAGTTTGGTGCCCGTGCCTGACGCTTAGGATTTTCTGTCATTTCTTAAATGGTAGCTCTGGAAACCAACCGTCTCATGCAGGCAAGTGTAGTGTTACTTTATCAATTAGGCGGCCATTAAATCTCTTATTCTTGAAAACTGCACACATGCGGCACCCATAATTCATGCAGCTTTTATCAATTTCAAGATCATATTCATCAATCACCTGCAAATGGGGAAGTTTAGTAAGACATAAGCAAATCTAAAGTACATAACAGTCAATAGCAATTAACAGATATACCTTATTACATGCCACATTCTACTCTCATAAGCCTAGCTCACAATATCAGAGACTTGAAATTAGCTATAAATATGTTTGGCTCCAATGCTGTTCAAGAGATGGGTAGAAGCACGTGGCCCAAATCACTAGACAGTCCAAGTGTTGGGCATTGTATTAATCTGGGAGAGAAAAAGAATCCTTTGTTTAACACCATGAAAATAAGCTATGACAGGAATAATTGTCATAAGCACCAGTGTCAAATAGGGGAAATAGATTAGCTACTTTGATTTGGCCGAGAAACTATCAATAATAGAATCACATTTGATGAACAAGAATGATCAACTTATCAGTTAGGAGGTTCAGCAGCTTAGCCATTAAATGTCAGCTCTTGAACCGAAGCAACCAGGTGCTCCCAGAGCAGTGTGTTGCTTCATTAGCCGGACAGCAGCTTCCAAAATATCCCATTCTTTACTGCAAACTTTTAAAATTCATCTGTTATTGAGAATTGAAAAGGTTTTTTTTTCTTTTTCTTTTTTAATTCTTGGTATGATCCATGAACCTTTTTCACTGCTAAATCAATAAAAAAGAAATGGTAAATGCTATATTAAAAGTGGAGAATTTCAACCTAAAACCGCTCAAATTTTTCTACCATGAGATATTATAAATATGTGATCCACCAAGGTCTTACTGACATCATTTTCATGAATAATTAAGAATCTGAAAATATCTATAAGTAACCTAAACTAGTAAAAGTAGCACGTCATCATCTCAGGTTTGATACACAGTTTCAAGAAAAATTGTATGGAAAACCTTACAACAAAATGCAGTGACATAGAAAATTGATTTTCAAATTAAACCGAAACAGTTAAAGCCAAAGTTTTGTGTGGGCAATCATGTTGATATTCTATGCTATTCCACGATTTGAACAGCTGGAGAGGTGTAAAGCTTAATACTGGATAGCTAATTTCTGATCATTGCATTGGAAGCAGGAGAAAATGAACTACTATGAAGGCTTGTCATTCAGGTATTTATGCAGCCAAAAGGGTGAGCGACGACAAAATATTTGCAATGGGATCCAGGAGAGGAGATGATATCGTCCACAAGAAAGACTGCCTTAGCCCCCTGGCTTTTCCAAATCCTTGCTGTTTTTTCTTTCTTTACTTTGCTCCTTGACCTTTCCAAATTTTATTTTGTTTACCTCTTGACTTTCTCACATTCTTTTTATATAATCATTACCATTTTAAATCTATTTTACTCAATTATTAATTAATTACTCAATTATTGACTCTCTAGTCCATAATTTTATATAGTTATTTTTCACTTTCATAAATTTTTTTTTGTCAATGATGCATTTTATTTTCCCAAATACACGCATACCATGTATAAGTAACTTCACATATAAATACTAAATGTTGACATTTTTCTTTTTTAAAATTATTTTCTTTTATGTTTGTTTTTTATATTTTGTTTAGACAATTAATTGGAAAATAAATACAGTATAAACAATGACTTGCTTTGATTCTTTGCTTTGCCTAAGGAATGCAAACTTATCATACTTTTCACTACATTTAATTATGTACAACACAACATATGAATAAAATAAAATTTTAATCATAAGTTTGTTGCAAATAAATTGAAAAAAAATTAAAAGCATAAATACTAGTCTTATACAAAAACTTCATTGAAACTCGGTTTACAACTATTAAAAACAATCAAGTATAAAAATGTTTGCATTTAAACATTATAATAATATCATATTATTTTTATTTACAAATTTATATAAGGATTATATTGATTCCGGCAGCTTTGGAATCCTGGCTCCATCTAAGGGGGGAAAAGGAATAAAAAAAAATTATTGATTTGGCAATTCACTGATGCCAATCTTTGGTGATTTGAATTGCTCTTTTATCTTTGGCCGTACCTTTGTTCACATGCATCGACTCCATATGGCCATAACTCTAGGGTATGCTACTAATTTCTAAAGTTAAATGTATTAACATGGAATGCTTAAGAAAGTTTTGACTCGGTGGAATTAGAGTGAGACTCCATTTTAACCTTTCTTAGAGAGCAAGCACTTCAATGTGATTTTCTGGATACATGGTACCTTGACCATTTGGATTTACTCATTATTTTATTACCAAATGACACCTTCTCATTAAATCACATAATTATATCATTGTAAACAAGTGATCATAGTAATTTGAAAGGGTTTTAAAAGTGAGGTTAGTTTGTTTGATAAAAGCTTTGGTGTTGTTGGCTTCGAACAAGAAGTTTCAAAGCATGGATTGCATTTGATTAGGAGAGAAAATAGGATAGTTTTGGAGAAGAAATTGAGGAATGATGTAGGTAAGTTGCATGTAATCAATTTTTCCTTTATTTAGCTTAGTTTTATTGGTTTTTATTTTAATTTTTTACTTAATTATGTAAAGAGAAAATTGTAAGAAATAACCCTACTTATAAAGTGATTTTAGAAATAACCACCTATATAAAGTTATCTATTTTTAGCCAAGTTTGATATGTGTAGACCAAAATGCCCTTGAAAACATTTCTAGCAAATTAATCTTCTGATATCTCCCTCTCGCCATAGAGAAATTAAATGCTCAGTTGTTTTAGCTCCCTCAACTCTCTTAGCTCTCTCAACTCTCTCAATTGAGTTGTATCAGCTCTCCCTCAACATTTCTGAACTGTGTTAGCTCTATCAGCTCTTTGTTGAGTACTATTTGCTAGAGTGGCATGAAACTCAAAGATAACAATTATCATACGCAGTGGAAAGTAAATTTAAACATACCATGCCATGCCACCACCTATGGATCACCTCGATGGTTTTAATACAAATAAAATTTAAGAGGAGTAAACAAAATATTATTTATCTAAGTGATGTCGTAGTCACGATGGCAAATACTCTTGATTGAGAGAAGATACGACACTACTCCTATTTTGACTCAAGCCCGTTTACACCATGAATGGAAAAAGAACCCAAGCCACCCAATCATTGGCCTTTAACGGTATCCACACAATTTCACTTTAACCTTTAGCAAGGTAGAAGCTTTTACCTACTCTCTGTGCTAGCAGAGTGGACAACAATTGTCCTTTTTTCACACAAACTATAAGCCAGATCACTATAGAGTAAATTATCACAAGATTTTCCTCTCAACCACAGGAGGTAGCTAGAAAAATTTTTGGTTGTTTTTGACAACTAGGTTTTCATAGTCATATGTGAGTAGTTGCACTCGACCATTTGGCTCATTGGTTGGTGCATTATGCCCTTACCTAAAGAGCAGGGTTCGAAACCTCCCTCCTCCAATTTAAAAAACAAAATATTCATATGTGAGTAGTTAAAGGTGATATTTATACCAACTTTAAACAACTCCCATAATTTGCAACTAAGGGCCTAATATTATAACCCATTATAATATTGGCCCAACACTTAATTAAACCCTTTTAATTTAGTCCTTGGAAATTAAAATCAAATTAATTTCCTTTTGTCATGTTTGCAATTAAGGTTATAATATTATAACTATTTATAATATTAACCTTAATCTTAATTAAACTATTTTAATTAAGTCCTTAGAAGTTAAAACCTAGAGTATGATTTAAGTCTAACTTAAATCATCACACCCTCAATTTAATTCATAGTATAACTTTTGTGTGTGACCCATTAGGTTCCTAACAAGTTGGCAATGGAATAAATTGTAATATTAATCAATTAATTCAATTTCATAGACCAAGATTGGCATCTAAAAATGCATCATAGCCACCTAATTGTTAAAAGAGTCAAAGGATTCTTCGACAACCTTTCAGTGTACAGTTTATGAGTGTAATTCATTCCCTCATCATATATCCAAGAGATGATAAGAGCATGGTGTAGTGTTTACTCTTATTGATGTCCATATTCATTCCTGCAGTTAGATCACTAGCTTTACAAAGACATATGAAACTCTTTTCATAATCTCCAAGTAGCCTTGGCCAAGGACTTCAATAAGCTAATATCAACCAAGAATTGTTAAGATATGTCCCCTTAATCACTTAGGGTGATGATTCCTCTCTTGACCAATCATTTGCCTTCACATGTTTCATGTTATACCAAAAAGCATCCTGTTATGGCATCCTTGGTTAGGCACCCGTAAGTATGAAATCAAAGCATAGCACTCCGCATATAACACAACCTAGTGTTTCAAGTCTAAGGAGTATTTACACAACTAACACATGAGAAGTATTGCATAGA